AATATGGCATAGGCTGCATGTCTTTTACCACCTCGGCCATTCAAAATGTTTAACTTACAGATCTAACTTGAGAAATAGTAGGAAAATGAGAAATAATAGGAAAATGGAAAATTGAGAATAATAATAATGATAATAATGATAATAATAATAATAATAGCAAAGTGAAAAATAATGGGAAAATAATAGGAAAATGAAAAATAATAGAAAAATAAGAAATAATAGGAAAATGAGAAATACCAGGAAAATGAGAAATAATCAAAATATGATCGTTGTAAAGCTTGTTTGTATTGATCTCTTTGTATAAATACATGACCACACTAATCTGTTATTTGATTTATTTGTCATTATTTATTTAACCAGAAATACTTTAGGCAAATAGAGCTTCATTCTTAATTAGTTGTTGTAAAAATAGACAATATACATGTGAAACAATTTTTATTCCATTTTAGTATTCAGTTTCTAATTTGCAAAATTTCAGAGAATGAGATGTTCTTCTCTCAAAATTTTTAATTTAAGTGGTTGTTGGCTGACTAACCTTGTTGATAATGGTCAGTTCCGAAAATAGAAGCTGGACTGGTCCATTAAATAAATTCAGCAAGATAAAGGTTAACTCTTTGACGGCATGCAGCAAAATTATTACAGACCAAGTATGCCCACAGTTTAGCGCCAGGCAAACCTGTAAATCGTTCCATTTGACCAGGCTCTAACCTGTTGGTTACTCTCAAACTACTTGTTCAAAGCAGTGACCTAGAGGTTAAGGTGTTTGCCTCTCAACCCATGGATTATAGGTTCAAGTTCTACTGGGGTCACGACCAATTGTTTCTTCATATGATACCATTTCAGTTCCAGGAAGTAGACACAGCAGTTGTTCGAATAAGTTTCATGCTTTCATAACAATGGAACCAAAATTAATATTTTTAAACTATTTAAAATTCAAAGTACCGCAAGCCAAACCTTACGCCTACTAGGGGTAACTGATTCTCTACACATGTGATCAGTGCAGACGCAGAACAGCCGGCACATTCATGATGTCTGATCATTGTCTGTAATGTTCACTATTCAGCCATTACATAAAAAATTTCCTTAAATAAGACAGTTTGTCATGATTAAAAGATGAACAAGTCTATTTATATAATAAGATATTAAGCTTGGTGAGGGTTAAACAAATTTAGCAGTGTTTGGGGAAACTGCAAATGAGTGTGTGTAAATGCATTCATCTGTAGGTTTACAGGGCTTCAATTAAGTTCCAAAATTTGGAAGTCAGAAACTGAGGTGAAATTATCATTGGTAGTCACGTTATATAGGTAAAGAAAGAAAAGCATTTTATTTTGGAAGACACAAGAAAAAATCAGGAGAGAATGACTCCCAAACTTCCGCTTATGGATGCCCATGGGTTTATATAAAGCTATTTAAGATTTGTTGGTTGTAATTTTAAAGAAAGAAGTTAAAAGTTTCAAACAGATGTAAATCTGAAATGTTGGCAAATATCATGTGACATTATTAAATGGCACTTTGTTATCGAAAAAATCAACATAATTCTTTCTATTTGATATTTGCACAGGAAGGTCTTGTTTGCATTTATCTCAAAAGTTTCTCTCAAAAACATTTTTTACCATGCTGTCCTTGTTAAAATAAATACTTTATCATACTTATGCCAAATTAAGTTACCTTTTTATGGGGGGGGGGGGAGAGGGTGGGGGGGGGTCATTTTGTTGGAAGTTAATATCTCAATACATTGATTGCGATTTATTGGCCCTCATTGATTATGATATATTGGCCCAATATCACCACTAAATAGTTTTATAGGTTTTGAACCTATATTATTCAAATTGTTGAATTACAATTTGGCAAGCATTGGTCAAACTAAAATAATGTACAACATGGCTTTATTTAACAAGACAGCCATGTGCGAAAAATTATAACGGATTAATCTGCGACAAGATTAACTCACTTCTTTGTGTTACATGAACACTAAATCCTTACAAATTACATTTTAAATTATGTTACCTTATTACACGACAACAATTTAACCCTAGTATTTAATTTTGAAATTGATCTTAATAACAGACTGATCTAGTTCATTTAACTAGCCTTAAATTACTTGTCTCTGTCCACGTTTGGTTTGAACTCATTTAGGGTCATATTGTATTATTTGTGTTAGTTTACCAAAAATATTTTGGTTTGACTTGCTTATTAGACGGTTAAAAAAAACAACAACATAACGTAATATAGCATTTACACAACCTTTACCCTGCTGGTCTGCTGGAACCAAAATATGACTTTGCCTTTGCCACCAGTATAGAACCAGGCCAGCCTAGATACACCTCTGTGCAGTCTGACCAGGTTCTATACTGTTGGTTGATGAACTAAATAATCTTGATATCCCCAAAATTGATAATGACCTGTTCCAAAAAAGGAAACTGGAAGTCCATTTTAAAAAATCAGCAAGTAAAGAGTTAACCAGTGGTGGTCACAACTGCATATTAATACTTAATTTTAAGGTCTTTGTAGCCAAGTGGTTAAGATAGCTGACTTTGGCTTCTTTGTCACTTAGTGCTGAGGGTATGAACCCCACCCAGGGACTCTTTCATGTAAAAGAGCTATTACGGAGAGAGTTTTCAAAAAAGCTGTTTAAGCTTCTTACTCAATCCGTAAAATTTATTTTACATACTTTAATATGTAAATGAAATCATTACCAGTAAATTATGTTTTAACTAAGAGAGCTTTTCTGTAAGTCACAAGGGAAGTTTGTTGGTTCTTCATTGCTTGTGTGTTCTTTTGTATCTGAAATAATGTACATTTCAGGGGCACTGAAAGTAACCAAAAAATAAAATTAAATATCTACATGATTGTATTATATGATATAATTAAATTTCAGACATATGGTCCACAACATATATTACTGTACTATGACACGCCGGACCAGTGGGATGCTGTTTACAAGTCAGACAAGGTATAAAAACAACAACTTTTATCCATATCTTTTCAATGTTTAAGCTGAATGCCTCCAGATGAGCTGAAATATTTCAAGAAAATCAAACTTAAGAAAAATATACTAAGATTTTAAGAAATGCATGATTCAAGCAATAATTTACATGTTTATGTGCGTAACTTTCTTACATTTCTAGGTAAAATTAATTTTCATATGTTTTATATTATGATCTAATTAAATTTAAGTACATGTATTTTTGAATTTAATCTCCTGGTATCGGAAGACTAAAATTGAGGACAGATACTCAGTGGTCCTTTTTAAAAGTTCAGGACTCTTGTATTACTATTAGTATTTTTATATGGATCAATTAGTGAGTGACTTTTTTTAAACAATATTTTTAATTAATTCAAATACAATTCTTCAAGTATTGTATTTGAATAAATTATTGAGAAGATACAACATTTAGCAAGAATGTATACTAGTATGCTACATGGCTGTTTGCCAAAATATTCTTTAAACAGGAAAAAAACCAAAGTTTACTGAATCATTATATAATAATCTATTAATAGATATTGATTTAAAGAGACATTTCTAAAAACTGAATTTAATTATACATTATTTCAAATTATATCAGATGAGCCCCTAAGTTCCAATACTCTAAGTGTTGAGGATAAAATAATGCTTGAACTAGTGCCAGAGGGCATGAGAGACGTTACATTTTCCATTTATATTAAACTCTCATGAACAGATCAAACCGAGTATGGAAATTTTACATATTTACTATTGTTGCCATTATTTTTGTGGGATCGTCCTTTTTTTTCAGATTTTTATTTCATAATTGCTACCTTTAAACAGAAACATAAAAATGTCAATTGACCAATATTATTGCCAGTTTTTCACCTTTTGTCCTGTATTGGCGTACTGCCCTTACACAGTGTAAGTCTATTGGAAATGGTGTAAAGAAAATATTATAATGAATTTTTAAACGATTGAAAGATCAATAAGAACTTATTGTACTTTATGTAAGAGAGCTGTAGTTTATATTTAGTAACAAAAATGAGATACACTTCATGGTTTTATGTAAGGGCATTTATAGTGTTATAATATTAATGACAGGTTAAATGAGGTTTAAAACGTAGCATAACACGTGAATTGTCAATTATTATAGAGTTATTAAATTTAGTTATCAAATAACTATTTTAATAAATGTGCCAAAGAAAGACGTAAAAATGATTAAGCAAATATATTTTAAGGACGTTTTCGGTAGTTTTCATATAGACGAAAAGGCAAAATGAAAACTGTTTATTAAAATTTCTTTAAAAAAATGTTCGCTTAAAATGTTTCTGTTATCATATTGTAACAATATGCCAAGTTAAAAGAAATTCTATTAAACAGTATTTATTTGCTTATATTTCCATATGAAAACTCCCAGAAACGTCCTTATTTAAACTCAGATAGTTATGCAACATGCAAGATCCTTAAGTTGTTTTTGAGCTTTTGATGGTTTTAAAAAAAAATAAAACATGTATTTAGATGATATGGTACAATAACTTTTCTTTACAAAGAGTATAATCAACTTTGTTAACAAAATGATGGAGTCATTTTTTAAAGTGCCTTCAGCTTTACTAAAGATTAAATATATTATATTTAGATTAATCGTTGCATATTATTGTCAAATCAAAAAATGGAAAAATGAAATTTGCCAATGATAGGATGCATAAACAATCAGGAAATCCATTGATACTGCTCTATAAATATAAAATTAGTATAGCGAAATATTCGTTTCTCAGCCTTCTGTTTTTAGAAATGCCAGTCACAGACACGTTATATATAGCTCACGGGACGCCGGTTTGAAGAATGCTTTACAGTAATATGATGCACTTTTCCAATATAAAAAATTACTGAAACAACTCCATTCATTGTTTATCAAACAGAAAATAAAGGCTGAAGACCACTTTAAGTGAAACGTTATAGATGATATAAAATGTATTGTTATAATATTATTATTCTCTACAGACGTGCAGACAGAAATTGGCTGTTCTGGATGTAAACAATAATCAGATTATAAATCTGACAACATCGTATGGTCTATCCGGATGTACCATTAACAATGCCGGCATGTATAATTGTATTGGTGGCCGTATATTTCGGTCGTCACGTGAACGCTGGTGGTTTATTGCCGTCAGCCACTGTGACCGAGACCCCTCCGATGTAAGGGTCAATAAGTGCTATATGTCTCGTTCTAACAGCGTTTGCGTGGATGTGATTGCTTTATAACATTATTGGTAAAAGTTCAAATTATCTCTACTGACTGAATCAATGCAATGCCTAACTGCCTGTTAATTACATGTACTATGCATTTTTTTATTGTATTTTTGCATTTTCATTTTTTTTTTACTTTAACATTTACAAAATGTTATAAATTTTATCTTATCTCAAAGGAATACAATGACAAAATTGCCCAGAAAATAAAAAAGTTATTTTGGTCTTTTGATAAAAGTTTGGCAATGACTTGACAAAGAAAAATAAATACATTGTAATCATTTTTACAATTGAATTCTTTTAAAGTAAAACATGCTCAGTTGTCAAAATGAAAGTAATGTTACAGATTAAAAACTATTTGTAGAAAGCCCTTTATCTTACTTTAATGACTTTAAGCTGTTGTAATTCTGTATTTTTTTCTGTTCAGGGGAGATAATTTGAAAATATAAGCCATAAAGAGTTATTTACCTTCACTTCATTTGAATTTACAAGGCAGATTATGTTAAACTGCACTGATATGGTGTTCTTATTTACTGCCTAACAAATTTCACAAAAATCCCCATATTTCACAACATTAACAGATTTTATTTTCATTATTTTTCAGTCACTAGAAGCGATGTTTTCTCAAGAAGTACAATGTAGTCTGTTTTGTTTGTTCATGGAATCATAATTTTAAGAATTATTATTTGAATACTTTAACCTTTTGTCAACTTATTTCCTTAGTCATGTACAGGGAAGTTGAAGCCTCTTTCCAACAGTCAAAGGATTGAGATAACTACAGCAAATGTTCTGTCTGGTTGTGTGACCAAAAAAATAGGGGATAGATGGAAATATTATTGCCAGGGCGGAAGAACATTTAGGTCTGCCCGCGAGCGCTGGTGGTACGTTGCTGTTAGCAGATGTGACAACAGTTCTAGCGATGTAAGACATGACCTTGACCCGATTCTAGAAATTCTGACCTTGTAGACATAGGTTAGCTCCCCTTCCATAATCACCCTAGAACATGTTTTCTTCATTCAGACTTACAAAATGACCTTTCCGGTAACGAAATATAGTATATACACATATAAATAACAAAGTTTTAAAAGAAAGTTTAAAAGGGAAAGAGTTATGGTTATTGTAAAAAATTCAAATGTAGTAAAAAATCTGTTTATTTGATATTACATAATATATGTTCACAAAAATGGTTACGTTTTACTAAATTAAGATACTGTAGATATTTTATTGTATGTGTTGAATTTCATTTACTTGGAAGGTCATTTACTGAAAATAATTTTTTCCGAGCTTTCATATACATCTTGAAGAAGAATCTTTCACTGAGAGTGTACTTTTGAGGAATACTTATAAGAAGGTTGAAAGTGAAAGTGAGAAAAAAGGAAATGCTCTTTTGTTGTCATAATATGGTTACTCTTTTTCTTCAATTTCAGATTTCAGCATGGAAAGATCTTCGAAAGCATGTTTTTCCACAATAATGGATTGTTTTTCTTTAGTAGATAGGAAATAAAGATTAATACATTTATATTTAATAGATATTTTATTAAATTCTCACAGACTTGTGCAGGGAAAGTGTCTGTCCTTGACCCCCTAAACAACCAGGTTATTTACCTAACAACCCAATACAGCCTGTCTGGCTGCCAAATTAAGACTATAGATGGCGTTGACAAGTATGTCTGTGAGGGCGGTAGAACATTTAGAATGGCTCGAGAACGATGGTGGTTTATTGCTGTCAGTCGATGTGACCCGACAAATTCCCCTGTAAGTCTCGCGTCATTGTGGATAAATATTGATATTGTGTTCCACTCTTATCTCATAATCTCTGTTCACTGTTTCTTTCAAACAACAGAATTGTTCACAACGTATGGCAGTCATGAATCCAGCTAATAATCAGATAATAACCCTCGATACGAATCAATGTAAAATTCAAACTATAGACGGCATGCAGAAGTATAACTGCACGGACGAAAGAAGATTCATCGCTGCGCGAGAACGTTGGTGGTATATAGCGGCTGCTCATTGCCGACCATTAACTGTAAGTTGTCAAGGAGACAAAAATAATAAAATGCACCCATGAATATTTTGCTTATTTGCTGCTATGTAATCACCAAGGGATAAAGGCATATGTATCATCTGCTTGGAAATTGTTTCTTCGCTTTTTTTGAGTGTTTCATGTCTGCAATTTTATGCAATTATTATTGAGGAAAATAGTGAAAATTATAGTACATTATTTCCTTGTATAATTTTTTCTATGAATTTACAAGAATTGTTTTGTTCAACCTCAGTTAACCTATTCTTGGTCTTTAATGTCAAATAAATGATTTAAACTTTGGACTGCTTTTAATTTGGAATTGTACATTCAAAGTTTATTATCAGAAAACAAAAATTGAGCTGCCAGCACTGTTGAGCCTGGTCAGACTGCATTGCTCTACATGCAAGTTTCACACTTTACGGGCTGCAAAGCCAAAATACCTTCACTTCAGCAGAAAAAGTTCATTTTTGGATAAACTGAAAAGTTTTATTGCAATAGTTATTGGATTAAAAGTTTTTATTTCTGTAATTTGAAAATGGAAAAATTAGCAGCATTTAAAAAAATATTTTCTGAGTAACTCTTATTTAACAAGACCAATTTCTGTCACTAACATTCTTAAATAATCAACTTGACAGAAAATTAATTAACATATATCAATAAAATAAATTTCCAGTCTTTTATAATGCTTTTATTAGATATGGTGTTTGTTTTAAACAAGTTAGTCGGAAATAATAATAATAATAACTCCAGTAAGTTTCTTCAAAAGTTGACATAAAGTTGCAGATATGAATTGTGCAGGGTGTTTGTGTACTTGTTTTAATGCTTGCACACTATATTCAGATGTGCTTTCTTTGTTTATAATCAGAATTCAATCTAAATCATTTTATATTCTTGTCTTCTATGGTATTTGCATGTTTTTTGAAAGTGTTAGAATTTAGTGTTTGTTTTTGCTGTTGTTTTTTTTTTCCTGCAGTGTTATGCATGTTGTTAATTGTTTTTTTATACCATTTTTAAAATGTTCTTATACTTGGAGCTGTTTTTATGTTAATTTATTTATATTTCATTCCTTTTTACGATTTTTTCCCCTTCAAATTTGATGTTATTTAGATGTGATGGTTTTACTCAAATGTAATGCTTTTTTTTCCATTAAGAGAATTTTTAAGAAACCTTTTATAAACAGAGCTATATTTTTAGTGGAATTACAAAGGTGAATGTTGAACAACAAACAGACATAAGGCCTGGTCAAACTGCCCAGATGTGCGGGACTGCCTGAGCTCTAAACCAATGGCATAGACTTTGTAGTTTTATTTTCAGCATTGTGCGTATTAAATAAATAATAGCATTTAACTCTGTGTAATGTATATTTTGAAGAATATATATTTTAAGTAAATTGAAACTTACCGATAGTTGTAAATAAGTTTAATAAGCCATGAATGTCGGATTTGGTTTTAAAGGCTATGTTTCTCATATAAGTATTTATATATAGTTGACATGTGATTGAATTTGATTTTGATTGCTTAGATTTTTTTCGGCTTGTAAAAATTTCTGCTAACTGCATGTTATTCTCCAAGAGCTTTGATACATGTTTTTGGTTTCCCTGACAACCCCCCAACAATTAAAAAGAAAAAGAAAAAAATTATTTCTTTGTGAAATTTCAGTTCAATTTTGTTTAATATAATTTTGGGTGCTATGAAAAATATTTTGAAAATTTAAGATGGGGTCAGTAAAAACCAAAGAAATTTTATGTGATAATTTTTTTTACATGCATATGTATACATGTATTAAATCTCTATGTTGCTTATTGCTTTATATAATATGTGTGCATAGTAGATATGTTTGTTAACATAACATTCTTGCTTATCGATATATAACTGCATGTAGCCGGAATATTGAATTGTATATTATACTTTTATAGCTTACTTTTGTTATCTTAGCTATTATAGTAAAGTTATTTCCTACTTATTGTACTGTATTTTGATAGTTAGATAAACTTTCATTGTACACATTCTTATACTTGGTATAAAATTTTGTCATCAATGATCAAACTTATTTATTTTTGAATTATTCAATGTTATGAACAGTTATTACACACATAGTACAAAACTTCATTACCTAAAGTTTTAAATTTGTCAAATGTAAGAAAATTGAAAGGAACCCCACTGAGGTTTTTCTTGACATGACAGGACTGGAAATATTTTTTGGGGAGATAAATGTATTCTTTGATCTATAACTTGTGTGACCTTTACCTTACCCAATTTTTCCAGGAAGTTGTGTGTAAATCATTTTTAATGCATTTCTGGTTTCAAAATTTTGCAAAATGTCATACATTATTATGTCATATTTTCACAATTTTATTACATACTAGGCTTTTTTTTCACAAAATGAACAGGCCCAGGCCCTTTAACAATTTTGACCAAAAAAAATGTAAAAAAGTCCTCCATTTCATGTTTTTAAATTAAAACATCAAAATTTGCACTATTTAGTAGTAACCGAGGCTCCTTTTCCACATAGCAATGTCTTTGACTTTTGGAAAACCAAATACCTGGTAAATGTTGAGCCTCTTTAAGGCTGATGGATAAAATTCTACCTTAATGTCTCAAAAGTGTGTGCTGGACATACCCCCCCCCCCCCCCCAGTTATTTTTGGTGCCAGAATTAAACTTATCTAAACTTATTCACATTGAATTATTGGCAGTGAAGGTAACAGCCCTACTCAAGCCCCCTACTATCCCATCCCTGGCAACAGTAGGGTTGGCCTTAAAATTCACTGGTATAGGATTGTCAATGCCTCGTTTGGTGAAGGTGTGTGCACAAAACTGCCAAAACTTGTAAATTTCCTTTACAATGAGCTATGACATAGGGATCATTATGCTTTAACGATTTTACAAGTTCAAATATGTAAGATGCATGCTTTTTGCTTGTTTCTACTTGTGAAATCTTTAAGTTAGTGGGAGTGGTTACTCCTGGATGCTTTAATGAAATTTTTAAACTTCATTTCATGTTGTACACTAGAATAGATCAAATTACCATAATTTATGTAAATTAAGGAAATTTATGCAAATTAGATTGATAATATAGAGATTATGTTCACAACACTGAGTTGATTGGAAATTAGCAGTTTTTACATGTTTAATTGATTTGTAAACCTTTAGCCTACTGGGGGCAACAGATTCTTACCATGTGACCAGTGCGGACCAAGACACGGTCATCTGCACTGTCCATTAATCAGTCAGTACATATTTTAGAAACTTAAAAAAAAAAAGATTAATGGTTTTGTCTAGATTGAAAGATGGACAAGCTCATCAAGGCATTTAGCATGGTTAAGATTGATTTGTACATTTTTTTGCTGGAATAATTACATTTTCGGTATGATTAGTAATGCAAAATCATTATTATTCGTGGGGCACTAATTTTCATGCTTTTTTTGGGATAGGCTAATTCATGAATTTAAGACCCAACAAAATTTCATTTTCGTCTGATGTAAGATTATTTTGCATCATATTATTTACATTTCACCTTTTGGCAAAAATAAACAGTCCCCAAATTTAAGTACCCACGAAAATGTTCTTTGTGACAAAAAATACGAAATTTAATGACCACAAAATTAAGTGCATTCACAGTATATGTTACAAAATACCAATAACTATCATCTATATATGTACATGAATACAAAAATACTTTTTCTACAGTGATGAGATATGATACATGTGATCATATTACACGACTCTTTTCTTTGTCCATTGTTTAGTTATAATTTTCTTGTTGAGACAGGTCAAATGGAAAAAGCTACGCTATCTGACATTGATTTTGTTATCTAGGGTGAAGTTATTTAAATGCTTGATTAAAGGGAAGTAATTTAAAGTATTAATTCTAACCTTGATGAATTTGTAAAGTTTGCTAGTCGTGCTAAGAATTCAGTACTGTCCTTTTACTTGGTGACGATTTGGTTAAAATCAATATCTATCCATCACTGTTTACATGACTTGTGTATGAAGTTAATGATGTGATGAAGTTGGCATTTGCTTGTGGAGCAAAACGAAATAAAACTGGTATGAAATCTGGAAACTGTTTGATTCTAGTATTGTCATATACAGACTGTGAATTTAATTTGACAAACAATATCTAACTGTCTGAATCCAATTTAACACAAATCAACCAATTAAATTCAATCAACCACATCCCAACTTAATTAAACCAGTTAAAGTGAACCATCTTAATCCAACCAACCTAACCAGGCCAGCCAAATCCAACCAAAATAGGCCAAACAACCAAATCCCACCAACAAAGGTCACAAATAAAATCCAACTGACAAACAAAATACTATCAAATCAAACCAACATACCGGTACTTGTATTTTATATTTCACATATAAAAAAGTGAAATTATTTGTGATATTTATTTAACTGACTTTTATCTTTAGTTTGTAGATTTACAGAACAGTTGTTTGTGAAGAATATTTGTCCTAATTTACATGTATATTTTATAAACATTTGTCTAAACTACATGTATATTTTATATGTTTGCTTTTGATGTGTGTTGTATATTAACAACTGCACTCCACATAATCTTATTTAGTATTAATTCTTACACTTCATAACTTTATGCAATAATAATAATATTTAATTAAACATAATTATTCTAGAAAATTTCTACATTTTTCTCAAGCTTATATTCATGTATTTTAACTGAATTTATAAGTTATTTAAAAATAAATGTGATTTACCATATAGTATACATGATCTGTTTTGTAAACTTTTGTTAAATAATCATGGATATTAAACAATACATTTTGCTGAATCAGCATATTTAATTAATTTTTAGATAAGTTATAAGTTTTCTTTTAGAGTCCAAGGAAATTTGATAAAGTTTGCATATTTATGAAATAATAGTAATATTTTCAATGAATGATATTGGTCATGTTATTTGGGGTCATATAAATATTTGTATTCATGTATAACCTTAGCTGCAACAGGTTTGAAGCTGCCAGATTTAATTGCCAAAAAGTTTTTTATATGGTGTATTATCACGACCTGATAATAGGACAAAAGTCTTTGTAATAAATTTTTATAACACTGCAATTGCAAAGGTAGTTCATTAATTTACAGCAGACGTGTCAATAGATAATGTTCACATGTGTCCAATGTGTTGCAAAAAACTTGTTTTGTAATTGAGCTAAAATAAATATATTTAAATTATATAAACAATCAAAATTGCAAACATGCAGTATTTGCAGTAATATGATTAAAGTATTATTCTTAATGTATGAAATTTGTAAGTGATATAATTATATAAGATATATGATTTTATTATATTACAGCCTATTGGTATCAACTTAAAGTATAAAATACACATGACAAACGGTGCCGAAGATGACTATCTACACCGGGAATATTCAGCTGACGAGTTCTGTATGTACCCTCCTTTAAATAATAATCCCCTCACCACAGTAGGTTCCAATCCTACCACAGACTTTTGTTTCTCTTATGTGAGGAAGCTATCCAGTTAGGTTACGAAAGGTTGGTGGATCTATTCTTGTGCCTGCAAATGTCTGTATTTATGCATGGAAGGGCACCTGAGGTCTTCCTCCACCAGTCAAACTGGAAAGCGCCATATGACTACTTCTGTGTTGGTGTGACGTATAACCCAACCCCCTAAAAAATTATAAATACTCTTTAACCTTTAGTATTGCCATAAAACTACAAAGTCCATACAGGCCAGGCTATATAACTGTTGGCTTAACAATTTCATATTGACATACCCTAAAAATTGGTTATAGACACTTCCAAAATGGAAGTCCATTTAAGAAATTTGGCAGGACTACAATGTAAATTTGGCTTCTGTCAACAAGTGATTAGGGTTACTGAATTTCTTTTCCATCACTTACGGTGGCTGATTTGGTACATTGCGCGTTGCTTTGTCGTGGCAACAGCGCAACCTTTATCGTTATGGCCTTTTTATCTTGTCGCTAGCAACAACATGACAAAGCCCCAAACGGCGCATTGTCGCGCTGTAGTCTTGTCGTCCTGTCACTAGCGAAGCACGCCAAAACGCGCGTTGTCACAATGTCACCCTGTCACTTGGCTTATAAGCCAATCCTTCAATTTAAACTGAGTAACAATGTGACATCGCGACAACACGCCGCACGACAAGACGAACGTCCGATAATGCGCCGTTTGGTGCTTTGTCCTGTAAGCGCTAGCGCCAACACAACGCAAAAAAGCGTTCCAAATCAGCCACCATAATCACTTATATATGCTCAATCTTATCCGTGGATTTATTAATTCTACATGTGAGGAAGCTATTTCCAACTTGTCTATGATTGACTTATGTTTTTGCCTTAATAACCATGTATGCCGCAATTATAAGAGGGCATATTTTTATTTTCTGCTACTAATAAAAACGTATGAAAGCCACTCTATGAATTCTGTCTGTTTCAGTGTGACTAAGATACAAATACTGAAATTAAAAAGATAAAACAATTATTGGTCATTAATGTATATAAATTATTTGTTGCATGAAGCATTTTTATCATCATTATGATTTGATGATGTCGGTATGAAAAGTATACTATCAACTCTTGTGAAGTACAAAACTAGTGCAACTCTGTGATTTAAGTAGCAGTGAATTGTTTAATTATTAGTACTGCAACCTTATTTGTTTCTACATTTCAGATATCCTTCCAATTGACATAGCATTTTTGATAGCATATGTAGTGCTGTGCATTCTTTCTATCATTTGTGCAGGTAAGTCAAATGTACTCAACTTCCATGTACCAATTTCTCTTCAACCAATCTATGACATCTCTCTTTTCACATATTCAGTATGTCTAGTTTTGATGATGTCATAAATGATGTCATATGTGTAATTTTTTGTGATGTTATGTTTGTAATGTCAAATAGATATTGTCTTATTTTCCACTGTGCAACAAATACATGTTGTTGATATATGCTTCTTGTTAACTGATAAGCTAACTGTTTGAACAAAATGTTTTAAACCAAAAATAAAATAAAAACAAGGACTGAAGCTCAGTAATATGCATGTGTATTATATTATTTAAAAAAAAATGTGTACAAGTGGGCCTGCATGATTATGAAGTACAGGCTGGCGATTTTGATTGTGGCATACTTGTAGCGTATACTGTGCACTTGAAACCCATTTATGAATATCAAAGTATCTGAAACATTTATATATACATTGTACATGTAAAAACCCAATATTTAAGAATTAACAACAAACTCAATAATTTCAATAATTTTGGTAGTGCTTTCAATGCTTGCGCTACCAAAATTAAAGAAATTATGGACTTTGTTGTTTGTTTGTTTTTCAAATAGAGAGAAATATAATCCCCAGTAAAGAAAGTCCAAAACAGCAAAATTGAAAATGTTGCAGGCTCGGTTTGATTGAGCCTGTATAACACTGCAAAAGGAACATTGATCACGTTTTAACATGTACATGTATATATATATATATGTATGTACATGTATATGTATATATAGCAAAGTTTAAAAAAAATTCTATTTTCAATAAATTCTACTAAAAATGTTTCTTTCCTATGGTCTATTATTTTTTTGGACCCATTAATATCCCATTATTAAAATCAAGTAGATTTGATAGTTCATAAAATTATTACATATGTCATTGAAATTTCAGTGTTTTTGAGAAATCGTCAACTATGGCATACAACGTATAAAATGTACATGGTCTCAGTATTTTTGTGGACATTTTACCTCTTCCTGATGTCTGTGGGTTATGGTATATATGGTAATGATGGCCTAGAATGGAAACTTCGGTCTACAAAATATGCAGGTAATAGGGTAGTATATATGTGATGTCAAAGTTCATGGGATATTCATGACATTTATATAATGTATATATATGCTGAGGCTGTTAATTTATGAAGTAACTTCAAGTTTTCTTAATAATGAAGGAATTATGCTGTCGTATACATTTGTTAGGAATTTTACAGGTTATATGGCCAATTGTAAATGGTTGTTTGCAATATAACCCCAATCTGATGGTTTGGGTTATATAACCTTGTGACTGTTTATACTGGGACATATATCCTGTTAATAGTCATTATAACCAATAATTTACACATTACAAACTGTAAGGTAAAGATGCGCAAGTGTTTAGTGTGTTTCACGCTTAGCCTGCTGGCAGCAATAGATACTACCCATGCAACCAGTGCAGACCATGATCAGCCAGCACATCTGTGCCACCATCTAGTCATTGTCTACAATGTTTGCTAATTAGTCAGTACAGCACTTCTGTGATGAATGGTTTTGTCCAGATTGAAATATCTTCATTTGAGATATTTAGTGTAGTTGTCTCTGTTATGAGAACAAACAAACACCACTTAAGGTATTACATTTGCATTACATTTAGCCAGGATAACAGTGTTTGTCATAACTCTAACAGAACAAATAAAATCTTATAAAGGTCACATTGTCATATGAAATATGACATTTTTTCATTAATGAATATGAAAAGCGTTTTGGATTTGAGAAACTCAAATTTAAAAATTAAATGTTAAATTATTGATATTGAATTGATAAATCTATTAAATTTGACTGTTATTTATGTATTCTATGCTTAACTAATGAGGGTCCATCTGTTTTTGTTATGATGTTATAAGTTATATTAACATAGAAATTCTTTTGACCATTTTATTATTGATGTGTATTTTGATTACTATTTCATCGAATTGTATATCTCTAGTTTAAAGTTTTAATCCTCTGTAAAATGTATTTGGTACAGTCAAAGGGAGGTAACTTCATTTATATAAATATACTCTACTGTTAGTTATTGGACTATACTGACATTGTATACATTTCTCATTATGAAATACTTGTTACATTACACATGAAACAAAATTCTTTGGGGTAGAGGGGACTGGGGAGAGGGGGGATTTGAAATTTTTATAGAATAAAAAACATGAATGTTTTCTGTGCAGTTCTTAATTGCATATTTTAATGTCACTAACTTTAAACCTTGACAGTACTGAAACCAACTGAACAAATAATTGTTATTGTTGACTGATCAGTTTCTTTATTCTTATATTGAATCACTGTAATTACTAATTGACTGTTCTAAGAAGAACAAGTTCATTCCCATACCAAAGAAATTGATTTATGAACTTTTAACCCAAGGAAATAGATAAATGAACTTCAAACCCAAGTAAATAGACTAATGAACATCAAACCTAAAGAAATATATAAATGACTTTTGAACCCAAAGAAATAGATTAATGAACTTTGAACTCAAGGAAATAGGTTATTGAACTTTGAACCTAAGGAAATAGATAAATGAACTTTGAACCTAAGGAAATAGGTTAATAAACAATGAATCTAAGGAAATAGGTTAATGCACATTGAACCTAAGGAAATAGATTAATGAACTTTGAACCTTAGGAAATAGATTTATGAACATTGAACCTAAGAAAATAGATAAAATTAACTTTGAACCACAGGCAATAGGTTAATGAACTTTGAACCTAAGGAAATAGATTAATGAATTTTGAACCTAAGGAAATAGATTAATGAACTTTGAACCTAAGGAAGTAGATTAATGAACTTTGAACCCAAAGAAATAGATGAATGAACATTCAACCTAAGGAAATAGATAAATGAACCTCAAACCTAAAGGAATATATGAATATAAATGATTTTGAACCTAAGGAAACATTTTGATGAACTTTGAACCTAAGGAAATAGATAACTAAACTTCAAACTTAAGGAAATATATTTATGAACATTGAACATAAGGAACTAGTTAATGAACTTTGAACCTAAGGAAATTGTTAATGAACTTTGAACTAAGGAAATAGTTAATGAACATTGAACCTAAGGAAATAGATTTTTGAACTTTGAACCTGAGGAAAATGATAAAATGGGCTTTGAACCTAAGGAAATACATGTTGTTTAATGAATATGTTTTTTTTTGTTTTTTTTTCAGCTCGAGCATTTGAGTCAATCAGTATTATGATATTTTTGCTGATGTTGATTTTGATTGGTAAGGGTTATACGATCACCAGGGGCAAGCTGAGTATGGCATCAACAGTAAAGATTTCTGTCTTCATGACCTTATATGCCATTGTTTATGTCATCATATTTGTATGGGAAGCTATAGTAAGTACATGCATGTAAAATATTCTGTGGCTTCTATGGTGTTTCTTGTACTTGTTTTATAAAACTCAGTTGAGTGGGACAAAACTCTGTAGGGAATCTCAATTTGTAAATTTGCTCCTTACCTTTGTCTTGTTTTGAATCTGTTTTGAACTGTCCATTGTTATCCCTCGCCAAAAGGCGGCGGGGGATATAGAAATAGGCTCTGTCCGTCCGACCTTCCGTCTGACATTTTTGTCCGGAGCATATCTCAAAAAGTATTTGAGGTATCAACTTGAAACTTCATAGGTGGATAGATCATATTGAGGAGGAGTGCAGTGCACAAGAATGATAACTCATCCCTGCATAATTTTTCAGTTATTGCCCTTTGTTATTTTTCAAACTTAATTTTTGTCCAGAGCATAACTCAAAAAGCTTACGAGATATCAACTTGAAACGTCATAGGTGGATAGATCTCATTGAGGAGGAGTGCAACACATAAGAATGATAACCTACCCTGCATTATTTTTCAGTTGTTGCCCTTTGTTATTTTCAGCCATCAGTATTCACATAGGTTTCAAATCTGTAATCACTTCAGCCATCAGTTTTCATTACCAAAAGACCTCTTAAAATTGAATTATTCTGCTCTACTACATATACATTCTTCCAATGAGCAAACACATTCAGGAGGGATGGCCATGTTAACCCATTACTTCATGAGCATTTGGTGAAAAATGGCTGTTTTCATTGAAAGTTCTCCTGTTACAAGTTCAAATTGCTATAAAACTATTAAAACTGCTTCAATACTAATCAAACTTGGCACAAATGTTCACTGGACCATTGCCTTTGTAACAACATGCCCAGGCTTAAATTTCCTGTTACCATGGCAACGAGGGGACATCTCAAAATTGCCAAAAATCACTATTTTGCATTGATTTTTCCCATCAAAATTGATTTCAAAATGCTGCAACTTGTCAATGGATTGAGATAGAGTCAAATGCTTTTCAGCGTTGGTTACACATTACCTTATTATCGACTTTGGGTCATTTTTAGCCTCTCATAAGTCCAAAATGTTCGTGGCAATGAGGGGGACTATAGCCCCCCTTCAAACCCCCCAAACAAAAGGGGGCACATCCCCCTTCTGGCAACCCCCTGATGTATCTTTTGTTTGGGGGGCCGTGCCGAAAAAGTGGTCACTTTTTTAAACAACATTTCTCAAACAAAAACAAGTGTTGGGGGCCTAAATAAGGCATTTTTTCACCATTTGAGACAACAAAAAAGGGGGGGGGGTGAAAAAGGCATTAAAAGGTGTGTATATCGGGTAATGGGTTAACATGGCTCTTGTGTACATATGGGGTTTGGTATCAAGATGCTAGAATTTAGCAAAAATATCAAAACCCCTCACAATAATTAAATGGACTGTTCCAAGTGCAAAGGAAGATTAGTCCATTATACAATTTTAGCTTATGTAGCATCTGTAGCATAGATAAAAAATCTGTTACATTTTGGTGAAGTTACGTAAGATTTTGCTAAGCTCATATCCATAATTGCAAAGTTAATGATACAATTTTGATTCAATAGTGGCAAAGGAAATGGCAATAGTATAACATCACTATTTTTATGTAAACTCTCTAAGAATTTTAACAAAGAAGAATTGGCAATTAACTTATTTGAAGTAATTAAGTACTATTAGAAAGAAGATTTAGATTAATTTGCAGTCTGTATGGCTTTTATATTCTTTATTGTAGTTGTCTCCCTTGGACTGTATAACACTCCCTTTATTGAAACATTTAAAGATTGTATAGTATTTTCTCTGTATTGCAAATATGAAAATTATTCAAAAGATAGATTTTAAATCTGTATTATATTTAATAAATAACTTGGATAGTATTGCTTTAATGTGAAGCTTAATTGATGATAGAAATTTACCTGCCAACGCTTTTGTTGCATAAAATGGAGTCAGAATATAGGCCAGTATCCAATCAACATTTCAAGTTCAGTCTTAAGAATTCCTAAAAACTTTACAAAATGAGAAATAACAATATTAAGTCTGATGAAGTGTTATGATATGATACATTTTGATATATTATGATATGACATAAAGAAATGATGTGATATGACATGATTGATTGATATAATAGTATGATATGATGCTAAGCTTGCTATGATATGCTTGATGTAATGTAATGTAATGTTATATCGAAATGATATTTAATTATATAATATTGATATATTTCATTATGATATGCTATGCTATGATGTCATGTAATATCAAAATAATATGATTTTGATAAACTACAATGTAATATTAAAGTACATGTATATTATAGTAATAATAATATAACAGTAACAACAACAACAACACCATTATTTTATATTTCAGATATTTGACCCCGGTCTGGTATTGTACCTATACGAGAGTCCACCAGGATACGCCCTCATTGCTATGCGTATAATTGGTTTTGTTTGGTTTTGCTATGCTATATTCTTTACATTGAAACACTACCCAGAGAAAGGCTCATTCTACTATCCTCTCTTTGTGTTTTATACTTTATGGTAAGTTCAAATTTTGTCATATCTTTGAGTCAATTTGTACTTTCGATATATCCTCACGGGCCATGTGGCCAAATGGAATTTGAAAAATAAACTTAAACTTACCTTGATTAATTAGGTGGACGATAAATTTTATGATAAATACATAATACATATTTTGTTGAGATACAATTTGAAATGCAACTACTTTGTTTGTTTAGCAGGTAATTGTAAACTGCAATACTTTATGATTTCCAGATATTTTATAAGTTACCTCCCTTTAACTGTTCCTTCAGTGAATGGCAAGCTATACAAATTATCAATATTTTTTCCATCAATTAAAATTTGTTTTAAATAAACTTCTTATATAAAAGAAAGGTTTGAGCTATTAAATAGAAGAGAAAGAATCTGATCAGACTGTGCAGAAGTGGAGCCTGGCATAGGCAGAGCATGTGTGCCACAGGAAGTCAAAAATTTATAAAATTGTGGTGATAAACCCCACTTATTTTGTGTAATTCTGATTTAAAACAAGAATGAAACTGAACTTTTATAATTCATTTCTTTCCCAAATTTGCCTTTAATCTCATTTTTGTAGATATTTTGCAGATTTTTACTTTCATGAAGATGAGTTTACATTGAGCGTTTCTCTCTTAAGTTATGAAATAAAAATGTACTTTTATTAATGTTCACAAAAATAGGTTTATCATCAACATGTGGAAATTGAAGATTTTATTTTTTTTGCTCTATATATTTGAAGTTCTTTATTTTTTAAATGAATAAAAGGTGTGTGTGTGTGTGCATACAGCCATTATTCTGCCATTCATTGTTTGGAATGTAGTAATTTTTACGACCTTGAAAAGAATACCGAAAATTCTTTTCGAGTGTTTACATAATGCCGATGAACCGGATTAAATGCAGGCATGATGAAGAGTTAAGATACGGCTTTTATTGTTTAAATACAGTTTAAGTTCCCATAAATATAAAAATGGAGCGCTCATTGATTGAAGATAAAAGATTTATCACAATAGATAAAGTGTAATCGAACGCTGCAAAAAATGTTATATCAAATATGAGGAGTGCACATAAAATAGAGAATATTTTCAATTAGGAATGCTGAAAGAATTTTTTCTTTTATATCCTGGTATATTTACGGAAAGGGTGGGGGGGACAATTTGATCTCCCACATTGATTGTTAAAATGCTCATTGTAATTTTTAACGTAAATTTTTTTTTTTTGAAATACTTGGGCATTAATAATGAATTTCTGACTTATTTTCATAGTTCATATAATAAATATAATTTTCAGGTTTTGGGCTGGCCCGCTCATGATTGTAATTGCAACATACGCTATTGCATTATGGTCTCGTGAAAAAACTGTTGTAGGAGTTGAAAATTTTGTAGCTCTTTGCGGCCATATTTATTTTATGGTGAGTTTTGGCAGAGGGCGGAAATATTATATTCACTGCTTACCCCCATATTTATATATATGCATGTCTCTGCAAGTTATGTGTTGTGCTAGATATCAGACCATAGCCTTGCTTGTTTTGAAATTACACTCCAAATTCTTATAAGAATCAATTTTTGTGAAAAACAAATTCCTGAACTTTATTTTTTCATGCAAAAAAAGCTTTTTATTCCCCAACAAGACATGTTGTTGAAATTCAATGTAAGTCCCCCCTACAAGGGGAGTGGTCAAGTCTTGAGAACACTGCAGAATAGTCTAATACAAAAATATGGGTGAGCTGGAATAGAAAAAAAATAAAAACGTGATTAACCAGATAATCATAATTTATCTTTTTCATCAAAATTTAGATTTTTTTTCAAAATCAGATAAAAGCAATTCAAATTATTCAAAAAAAATTGTGCTCCTCAGTGAAATATCAGGTAATATCAATCAATGAGAAGTAATTGATAATTTAACTCCAGTTTCAGATAAAAAGATACTTTCAGGGTTCAAATTTACAGCCACAATTTTGAAGTTTTGATGCCATCTTGTCAACATTTGCATAATAAATGCTTTTTATACCAAGTTTTTGACATCATTAAATATTTCTTTAAAGATATATGAAGAATAGTTTGTTAAAGTCCAGAAGCAATATTACCACATCTAAGGACATTAAATGAAGTACTTCTACTAAAAGAACAATTTTTTCCTGAATCTTTATATTAAAAAGAAAATGAAAAGAGGCATATTTTTTATAATAGCAGATTATATTTCTGTTTTTCATAAAAAGCAGACAGTCTATGAATCGGATGTTTTAAGACAGATTAAAACATATTTTATTTACAGCATTTTATTGGGCATATTACATAAACTTAGGGAAATTTTATATGTCTAAATTAAACCTATAAATGTCGACTGCATTTTGTCTAGACTTTCAATAAGATAAATTTGTCATTTTATTCAATTTATCAAGTTTTTGCCATGTAAATTTATAGTAATTATTCAAATCAGTCTGAACTGATGCAAACTTATCTCACACAGTTGAATATCTCGTTTTTCTAAAAATGTTATGACACAAGGGATGGTCCACGGTTCTTTTATCAAATTTTTTTTTATGAAGCTTTGCCTTACAACCTAGCTCATTTATGTTATAAGGACAAAATACAAAAGGGACATTGTGTGATACCTTGAACATTAAATTATATTATGTAGAGAAAACCTTTTTTTAATGGGTTGCAAGAGTGAGATCTCTAAATTTTAGGCTCACAGTTACGAGCACCCAACACCGCTCTTTGCCACTCTTTGGTGTTATTTTTCTTTAGTTGTTCATTTTTTCTTTCATTGTTTATTATCATTATATTACTTTGTGTTCATTTTATTGAAATTTTAATTGTTATAATATTTCATTTTAATTTATAATAATTATTTTTCATAATTTTCTTCATTTAGCAATTTTAATGATTGAAATAGGGGAAAAAAGAACGTTAAAAAGGAAAAAAAAAAATAGCTTATTTGGCAATAAATATTTATTTTTAAGAAATAACTAGCCAAGTAGTATGAATGTTTTTTGTCAGATTGTCAAGGCAAACTGACAGTATTGTCAAAATTGCTGCCATTTTTCTTCTTCTTATGGCTTACCGCATTTCATTTTCTACTTTCCGCCATTTTTTTCTGCCCCTGACCTTTTTATCCCTTTTTTATCCCCCTGAAAAGTTCATATAGTGCAGACAAATGTACTTAGAGCACTTTAATGTCTACAAGATATCTTATCTTTTGTATAAATATTTGTACAACAAATAAATTCAAGAGGGCAGACTGTCCTCTGCTAGTAACACAGTCTGAAAACCGGTGTTCATAGCATGCATTTTTCGCATGCATTTTTCGTTGTTTAAAAGTTTTAACATACCAGACGTTTGAGTCATTTCCGATCTTAAGGTGCATATATCTCAAGGTTAATTATCACGATTTTAAAATGCAATAAAACAGTGGGCGATATAAACTTTAATATTTCACTAATAAAAAGTTTAAAACTTTAGACTGTGAAGTTTTATAATCTTGGTATGTGCAGAAATATAAGCAGGAAATGAATACGACAAAAAAAGTTAATTGATAAAATTTTCTGGTTTTTTTTCTCTTTACTTTTAAAGGATTATGTAATTTAAAGAACAAAAGTCTTTGCAAACTGAAATAAAACAAATCAAATGAAATTTAAATTTCTTTAGTTTAAGTTAGTCAAAGACTGTGTTATTTTATTATCAGTTATTAAGAAATATTAGAGATAAGGACCATTTAAAAAAATATATATATATTTTATTTCTGTGATTTAGGCATTTATATATTTTTTATACCCTACCACAAATTTGTGTCATTACAAAAAGTAAATGGATTCTTTATACATGTACATGTATGACTTAATTTACAACCTCACTTCCTGTTATGTTATTACAGTCATTTCCTCATAGTTACCATTTACTTCACACAATGGCAACTTTGTGTGATTGCAAAAAATTATAATTTTTATTAGATTTTTGAATAAGCTTTGAAACTTTTAGTTGTACATATAAACAATAGCTTGCCATGTTAAATCATATACATGTACAAGTATGAAATCCTCTTGGGTTCTTATAATAAGTTTAAGACAAGATATAACCATTGGTTGATTTTCAAATTTTGAATTCAAAATCAGCCAATCAGGAGATAGAAGTGATAGGACACAGTCTATGCATTAAGAGTTTTAGACTGTGATATTGTTTAGATTTAAATAAATACCATTATATCGGATTTGCAGGTTTTGGGCTGGTCCCATTGTCATAGTTGTAGCCATGACTTCCATTGCTCTGTGGACCAGAGAAAAAACTGTCACAGGGGTTGAAAATTTTGTTGCTTTTTGTGGGCATGTTTTCTTTTTGGTAAGAAAAAAGATGTAGTGGGTAGAATGTATTTGAATTTTGATATTTTAGTTTTGATTTTCATCTTTTTACTAACCCAAGATCAAAATCTTTCTTGTGATAGTCTGTGGTTTTTGTTGGTAGTATTAGCTTCCAAGTAATATACATGTAACATACCAGCAGTAGTGGTATTTCTCTATCTTTTACAAACATTGTTTACAATATTAACCCTTACCAAGCTAAATATCTTATTTTATTATACTTGCTTATCTTTTAATCTGGACAAACCATTCATCATTTCTAGGGTAAAATTTCAAAATATATACTGACTTACGAGGGAACAGTGCAGACCATTTGCTGTCTGCAGAGTTTGCACTGGTCACATAGGTAGAATCTGTTGCACCAACAAGGCTAAGATATAAGATAAAAGGTTATATTCCTTGTTAATTTCTTTAGACAGGTTATATTAAATGAGATTGAGATGTAGACAGTTTTTTTAGCCATTTACATGCATGATTTGAATGTTATATAACACAGGTGTTGTCAGCAACATTTTGTTGTCAACAATGTTTTATGTAATTCATCATTTCACGAACAGTATGCATGTAATAAAAAATGAATTACACAAATGTATGTACATATTGAACAAGTGTGCATGTGCAGACGTTAATTAGATAGCACGTCTTTGTCATCGTTTTTGTGTGTAACATATGTGCAGTCTCCTGTAGTTGCATATAAACATGTAGACAGCTTTGCATGTACATGTAATGTATATAAAACCACAGATAATTTTCCAAAAGTTTAAGAAATATAGTTTTATTTGTGTTTATTAATTTCAGTAATTTTTTAATAAAATAACTTTCATATTTTCAATAAATGAAATTGATCTCAAATTTCCTGTTATTTTATTTTGTTACATAATATTAAAAGTTTTTTGAATATTGTATGGAACACTGTAAGTGTATTATATTATACTAAACAAATGTATAAAATTTGCACATTGCTTAACTGTCAAGATCTTCAAATCTTTTGGAAAGTTATCTGTCTTTGTAGCTTTTATTATTATTTCGAGGTCTGTTAAGTTAAAACTTGTATCAATTATGTCCCTTCTCAAAGATTAAAGTAGACTTAAGTTGCACCTAATGTGCAAAAAGATCAAAAAAATCTAAAAATTTGCAGACAGCCCATATGCACATTTGGGTGGTGGCATTTCAGGTCTATTTTTAGACCATCATGAACACCTGCTTTGGGTGAGGCATGTTTTTGATGTCGGATTTTACAAACTTCACCCCTCAGCCTTGTATTATAGACTTCACCTGATTTAAATTTAGAACGGTCCATTATTCTTATAAGGGATTTTTAATATACAAAACTTTAAAACAGAGCAATCAACAGAAAAGAGCATGACCAGACTGCATGGTTGTGTAAGCTGGCATGGTTCTAGACTGGTGCCATGGCAAGGTCTTTAACCCAGCTGGAATTAAAAGCGTAAATAGTTAATATAATTACCATGTTTAATTAATCCCTGTTGATGATCTAAATGGACTTGTCCAGCTTCCATTTTTTAGGTTCCACTAAGGTTAAAAATTAAAGCATTAATCTGGTCAGCTATGACCTGAGAATTTAAATATTATCAGTTTTTGACCAAACTGTATTCAACTTTGAGAAGTGTATTGTCCTTGATGACCATGATATGCTATGAGTTTCTGTAATATACATGTCATATTTCTCCTGACATGTATTTCCTTTACTTTAGATAACATTTCTATATAAATGGTAATATTAGAAATAGATGAGGGAATGCACACCGCTTATTTGATGTTGCTAGAAAATAATACTGACCTTAAGACCTGTCATGATATTCCTTGACCTGCCATGATGTGCCTTGACCTGACAAGATGGACCTGCCACAATGATCCCTGACCTGTCATGACATTTCTTGACCAGCTGTGATGTTCCTTGACCTGTCATGATATTCCTTGACCTGCCATGATTTTCTTTGACCTGCCATGATGTGCCTTGACCTGCCATGATTTTCCTTGACCTGCCATGATGTTCCTTGACCTGTCATGATATTCCTTGACCTGCCATGATTTTCCTTGACCTGACATGATGTGCCTTGACCCAACATGATGTTCCTTGACCTGCCATGATGTTCCTTGACCTGTTATAATGTTTCTTGACCTGTTATATTGTTCCTAGACCTACCATGATGATCCCTGACCTGTCATGACATTTCTTGACCAGCCATGATGTTCCTTGACCTGCCATGATGTTCCTTGACCTGTAATGATGTTTCATGACCTGTTATGTTGTTCCTTGACCTGCCATGATGTTCCCTGAACCTGTCATGACATTCCTTGATCAGCCATGATGTTCCTTGACCAGCCATAATGTTCCTTGATCTGGCATGACATTCCTTGACCTGCCTTGATGTTCCTTGACCAGCCATGATGTTCCTTGACATGCCATGACATTCATTGTCCAGATATGATGTTCATTGACCTGCCATGACATTCCTTGACCTGCAATGACATCCATTGACTTGCAATGACATTCATCGACTTGCCATGATGTTCCTTGACCTGCTATGATGTTCCTATGATGTTCCTTGACCTACAATGTCATTCCTTGACCTGCCATGACATTCATTGACCTGCCATGAAAATCATTGACCTGCCATGACATTCATAGACTGCAATGATATTCATTGACTTACCATGATGTTCCTTTACCTGCCATGATATTCCTTTACCTGCCATGATATTCCTTTACTTACCATGATGTTCCTTTACCTGCCATGACATTCCTTGACCTGCCACGATGTTCCTTGACCTTCCATGATATTCCTTGACCTGTCATTGACCTGCAATGTCATTCCTTGAACTGTCATGACATTCATGGATGTGCAGTGACATTCATTGACTTACCATGATGTTCCTTGACCTGCCATGAATTACCTTGACCTGCCATGATGTTCCTTGACCTGTAATGATGTTTCTTGACTTGTCATGATGTTCCTTGACCTGCCATGATGTTCCTTACTTCCATGATATTCCTTGACCTTCCATGATTTTCCTTGACTTGCCATGATGTTCCTTTACCTTCCATGACCTGCCATGATGTTCCTTGACCTGCCATTACATTCAATGACCTGCCATGATGTTCCTTTTCTATCATGGCTCTGTTACTATGAACATTACTTTTAGAACTGTAAACATATGATAATACAAAATTATCTCCAAGATTCCATTGCTTCTGGAATAAAACTGAAATATGAAATTTTGAGAATTTTTTGACTTCGATTTTTCTGATCTAACTCTGATTTTTGCTATTTTTTTCCTTGATGTTACGATTTTCTTTACTTCTGACTTCTAACTTAAAGTTCATTGCTGTATATAATTGTTATTTTATGACTGGTCTGTAAGTGTTAATGGCTAGTCTTTAACCATAGATTACATGCTGAATCGCCCATGTTTATATGTAAAACTCTGCTTGTCGAAGGTTCTGGGCCAGTCCTGTTGCTATCCTTGTGGCAGCTTTCGCGCTACCTGAGTACATGCGTGAGAAAACGGTTCATGGACTAGAGGCTGGCATTGCAGTTCTTGGGCATTTCTTCTTTTTGGTATATTGAATCATTACCCCACCCACACCTTCTGATAATAACCCAGATTTGCAGTGTATAATTTTGATTTTGAAAGTTGTTAATATTTCAACACAGTGATTACTTCCGAGTTTGAATTTTTGCTTGCAAACATTTTTCTTTTCTTTCTTATTTTTCACATTATCATCTGATTTAGATAATTTTTTTAATGACTGGAAAATTTGTAATTCATAAAACTTAAAACTGACTCTTTCCTGTTATAACTGTCTAACTAATTCTTACTTTATAATTAAACATAGATTATTGTACGTTTAGTGTTTTTTCCCTCCCACTTTTATAAGACTATTCGTTTATAGATTGTGCTAATTTATAGACTGTACTCAAAATATGACATATATATTCTTTCATAAAGTGATGTATTTCATGTTAACGTTTAATGAATGAAATTAAATTTATGTTATTTTTATAGATAAATTATTATTATATTATTAGTATCAATTAAAAATGTAACATGGTAATACATAGATATCAATTTTTTTTTGTCAGTTTCATATGAGCCGTGTCATTACAAAACCAACATAATGGGTTTGCGACCAGCATCTGATCAGGATCCATGCTGTTCGCTATTGGTTTCTATACTTGTTATAGAGTTTGTAAGCGAACAGTATGGATCCTGATCAGACTGCGCGGATGCGCAGGCTGGTCTGGATCCATGCTGGTCGCAAACCCATTATGTTGGTTTTGTCGTGACACGGCTCACATATATAATTTTTTTAATTAAAGTAATAATGTAAATCTGTCAGCTTTAAAACTGCTTTATAAATATATTGTTTATTTATATGCTAATTTGATTTGAACAGTCGTCGGTATACAGTTTTGTTAGCTGGTCTGACTGTACACTGATTGACATTAAGTCTTTTCATTTTCGTCATAGACTTTAAAACATGTAACTATTTGTTTTTACAGGTTTTAACCCGACCATCTGCAGCCAACAAAAACTTCCCATATCATGTGAGGACCACTCAGGTATGTTTCTCCAACTTACATATATATTATCTTGTCAGCTGAAAAAGTGGGGAAGCAGATGCCCCTCACCCTAAAATTCCTTGATTTCAGACCAAAAAAAATTGTGTGACCTTAAATTGTCATGAAAATGCATAATTTAAGCATCTATAAATTAAAAAATAATGGTCTTTCTGTGTGCTTGGGCTCCTGATGCCCTACCAGGCTCTGGAACAGTTAGGGAGAACAACAAGTGCAAACTGCAACTGATTGAAAGAGGTAGAAACACAGACCCAAAACTCACAAGAATGCACCAATTTCACTCCTTTGAATTAAAGATTTGCAGTGCTTTTACCACTGTCTTTTACCAATTTACTTTTCTAAATATTATGCAGAAATCAAAAGTCTGGCAGTCTGACCTTGTTCTGTACTGTTTGTATTTTGATAGTGAAAACCCTGTTAATTAGAATGGACTGCTCTAAATTTCAAGCTGGCAAAACTATTATAGCAGGTTTAGGTAGAGTAAGTTACCTTTCTGCACTGACTACACAACTGACTAGTTAAGTGCGAATAGTTAAAATATCAAATGATTTTAATATGAAGTTTAATTTTCTTACAAGAGACAAATTTTTCTTTAGGTTACTTGCAACAGCTCTGCATATTAAAGATTAATGGTTCATTTTGATAACATTTACAAATATCATACAGTGTTAATTGATCAGACAGGATTTTAGAAGAAGAAAAAAATAACCTGATTTGTTTTTTAACTAACAAATTCCTTAATAAGATCTGCTATCTTGGTTTCATAAAAGTAATTCAAGAGTCAGAAAATTTACAATTATTGTTCATTAAAATTAAAGTCTTGAGAGACATCAATAATATTCTTGTAACTTGCCATTTTGATATTTGAGGTTATGTCACCCTGACTCTCTTCTTCAATTCAGGAAATTTGGGTTTATTTCTTAAAATTTTTTTTTATTTTTAGACCCCAAACCAATTTATGATTTAATTTTTTTTTTTTTTTTTTTTTTTTTTTTTTTTTTTTTTTTTTTTTTTTTTTTTTTTTTTTTTTTTTTTTTTTTTTTTTTTTTTTTTTTTTTTTTTTTTTTTTTTTTTTTTTTTTTTTTTTTTTTTTTTTTTTTTTTTTTTTTTTTTTTTTTTTTTTTTTTTTTTTTTTTTTCTTCTAATTCAGAGAAGTTGTGTGTTTAATTTCCATGAAACAATTTTATTTATGGATCTTTAAGATCCTTAAACTCGACATTGATGATTTATATTATATTTTATTTAATTTATAGGATGACACTCCTGTGCAAGGTTCTTACTGTGAAAGAATTTTTTGTCCCCAGCACGGGGTTTGAACCCACAGTGGTGAGTGGCCACCAACTAAAACCAACCATACATGACAGCTTTCTCAGCACTGGTGAAAAAAATCATAATGAATTTTCTGCCTGCTAGTTGACGCCAGTCAATGTTCCGAAAGGATTTTATTCAACTCCTATATCATGAGTCTAATATATGGTACTCTCACATACATGTAACTATCTGCATGGTAATTGGTTTGTCTATTTAAATGGCATGTTTTTCTCTGTGTTGCAGATTGGAATCTTACAGAACGTGCCTCATCAGATGGGCTCAGGTGCTCCAGATGCCAACGACACTTCTTATGGAGGTCATGCGTATGCGGTCAGTAATCCGATGCAGGGATCGAGCAGTGGACCGGATCTGACCAGCCTGTTTGTGACGTCACAAACCAAGTCAGACAAGGAGAGGGAGTCGGAGACGTCACTGAGCTACAACAACAACAGTAACGGAACCGACTTGCCTCCGGAATATAATTCGGTAAAATATTTATGAAGTATTTCTGTTTATGTATTGTTGCTCAGTTTTGCTTTTGCTTATAGGCTTGATTTTCTGGCTAAAGGGACAACGCTTCAACTTAATGATCAAATTATTTGATTTTTAGTGGCTTAGGCACTATTGCTTTTATTCAAAATGTAGAAATAATTTGCACTCTTAATAGAAGAACTTGTTTCAAGAATATGTTCACTACTTAGGTTTACAAACATCGTTAACAGCAAAATATTTATTCTTTACAGAGAAAGATATATTTAATAGTGACACAAATTTTGTAAATTTTAAATTCATATTCATTTAATTTGTTTGTTTTTTTAATCCCAGTCTGATAGATGGGTACAGTATAAATGATTTGAGCCGCGTCACGACAAAACCAACATAGTGCGTTTGCGACCAGCATGGATCCAGACCAGCCTGTGCCTCCGCGCAGTCTGATCAGGATCCATGCTGTTCGCTAACAGTTTCTCTACTTGTAATAGGGTTTGTAAGCGCGCATCATGGATCCTGATCAGACTATGTGGATGCGCAGGCTGGTCTGGATCCATGCTGGTCGCAAACGCATTACGTTGGTTTTGTTGTGACGCGGCTCATTTGATATTTAAACAGGATACTTGGAGTACCATCAATGTTGTATGTGTATATATAATAATCTCCTCTAACAAAATCATTCTACAACTGCAAATCTATCACTGGTTCAAGTTGGTTACAACCCTTTACCTGTTGAATTCATGAAATGGATTTGTCCAGCTTTGAATTTGGAACAGTCCATTAAAGTTTAAGGGATTTCACTATCAAAATGAAATTGAGATACCAATAGTATAGAGCCTGGTCAGACTAAAAGAACATGCAGGCTGGCCTGGATCTATACTGTCGACAAAAGCTAGGCACTTTCAGTTCAAGCAGGTTAAGTGTTCATACCCTTTACACTCTCAACCACTAGCAGTTTAGACAGTGTCAATTTAATATTTTAAATTCCTACATGTTCAAACCTATGTTTCTTAGGGACATAGATAGTGTTGAAACAAGGGCGGGTTGAATCTAGGGCACCCAACAATATCTAGATTGGGAATTATAGATGAAAGGTACACATCTCATGAATATGCAAATTAATTCAGGATCAATTTTATTTGATTGTAAGAACAGTTTGTATAGCTGTGGTTGGGATAAATGGGCGATTATTGACTGAATGAAAGAAGAATCACACAATAATAGAGCAATAATGATGGGATACATTGAAGAACCAATGCTTCCAATTTATAATCATGCATGTACCTTTAAGGGTTGTTAATGTTTTATTTCTCCCACCCACCTTTGAGTACGCTACAATTTCTTACCTAAAATCAAAAGCAAACACTTGTTTTGTTTGTTTTTTTGCCTTTAATCAGCTTGAAATGAAAATGATTTGCTTTTGCCACCAGTTTAGAGCCAGGCCAGTAGGTTATGGGTTAATGGGTATGACAATTAAAGCCGTACGCACCAATGACCAATAGATTGATTGCAGTTGAACTAATATCTTTTTTGAGTAGAGTATAGAACTAGACTTTTATTATCTCCTTTCCCTAGTAGTTAACTGGGAAAAGTAGTGAACTGGCATATGTAGTGAACTGGAATAAGAAGTGACCTGGAATAAGCAGTGAACTAGGATAAGTAGTGAACTGCAAAAGTAGTGCACTAGGATAAGTAGTGAACTTCAAAAGTAGTGAACTAGAATAAGCAGTGAACTGCAAAAGTAGTGAATTAGGATAAGTAGTGAACTGAAAAAAGGGTGAACAAGGATAAGTACTTAAGTTGGATGAGAAGGGCACTGGGATAAAAAAGTGTAATTGGATAAGTAGGGATCTTGAATAAGCAGTAAACTGGGATAAGTAGTGAAGTTAGATGAATAGGGAATTAGGATAAGCTGTGAACTGGGAAAGTCATGAAATAGGATGAGTAGTGAACTGGGATAAGCAGTGAGCTTGAATAAGTAGTGAACTGGGATAAGAAGAATTAACTTGGATAAGTAGTGTACTAGGACTAGTAGTGAAATGGGGAATATAGTGAACTAGGATAAGTTGTGAACAGGGGTAAAATAGTAAACTGGGATAAATAGTGAACTTAGTTTATAATAATAATGATAATAATAATAATAAAAACTAGAAAAAGGAGTTAACTGGAAAAAGTAGTGAGCTTGAATAAGTAATGATCTTTTTCTTCCCATACTGTGTACTTTTCTGTAATGTCAAACTCCCACCATAAAGTAGGAAAATAAAGTACAAGTAAATGTCAATGAATGTCCCCTGAATGTGTGAGACTAGGTTATGAAGTAACATAAGAACTATTTTTATTCCATTGTAATTATGTAGAACACTCATATGACATGAATACCAGTTATATGAACTGCCTTACTGTACTTATACTATAATTTATATTTAATGGTATAATTTGCTGGAAATAGATTATGGCATGATTTTTGTACATAATCATAATATTTAGAAGAATGGCCTCATCTATCTTATATATTTTATGCCTTGCTTTAAATCCACAGAAGTTATGAAAGCATTATTTTAATATATGGTAATAATGTATTTATGAGTTCAAAGTTTTTAAAAAGTACAGCCAATGTGATGTGAACTTTTTTGTAGTACAGCCTATGTGATAATGCAGTTTATGTGAACTGTTTTGTAGTACAGCCTATGTGATGTGAACTGTTTTGTAGTACAGCCTATGTGATAATGCAGTTTATATGAACTGTTTTGTAGTACAGCCTATGTGATAATGCAGTTTATGTGAACTGTTTTGTAGTACAGCCTATGTGATAATGCAGTTTATATGAACTGTTTTGTAGTACAGCCTATGTGATAATGCAGTTTATGTGAACTGTTTTGTAGTACAGCCTATGTGATAGCCCAAGTTTATGTGAACTGTTTTGTAGTAAAGCCTATGTGATAACCCAAGTTTATGTGAACTGTTTTGTAGTACAACCTATGTTATAATGCAGTTAATGTGAACTGTTTGTAGTACAGCTTATGTGATCACCAAGTTTATGTGAACTGTTTTGTGGTACAGCCTATGTGATAACCAAGTTTATGTGAACTGTTTTGTAGTACAGCCTATGTGATAATGCAGTTTATGTGAACTGTTTTATAGTACAGGCTATGTGATAACCAAGTTTATGTGAACTGTTTTGTAGTACAGCCTATGTGATAACCAAGTTTATGTGAACTGTTTTATAGTGTAGCCTAATTGTGATAACCAAGTTTATGTGAACTGTTTTGTAGTACAGCCTATGTGATAATGCAGTTTATGTGAACTGTTTTATAGTGTAGCCTAATTGTGATAACCAAGTTTATGTGAACTGTTTTGTAGTATAGCCTATGTGATAATGCAGTTTATGTGATCTGTTTTGTAGTACAGCCTATGTGATAACCCAAGTTTATGTGAACTGTTTTGTAGTACAGCCTAAAGGATAATGGTGGTTAATATGTACCATTTTGAAGTACATGCTAGTGAGCTTGCAGGTTTATTGGCCATTTATTTCATTATTATTTATTTTGGGGGACTATTGTAGATATTTTCAGGAATAGTATACTATACATTAGATACATGTATATCTAAATTTTGTGGCAAGATATAGTATGTTTTATAGGATTTTTTTCATTTATTAAATGAGATAATAAAGAAAAAAATAATTATCTGTAGTTTCCTAAATAGTTGTCCTTCTACTTATAATATAGAACAACTTATGTAAAGTACATATAAATATGTGACAATAGTGTAATAGTGCATATAAATATAGTGGAATGTGACAATGTTGTACTTTTTACAAATAGGAGTACAATTTTTAACACAACCTAGACTAAATAAAGTTTTGGTATTTTTAAAAAAAATATTTATAGACTTATAATTTTTTTTAGAGATCATTTAGCACATACATGTAGTCATAGATCATAATAACCTCTCTCTTTTCTGTCAATTGTTGATTTGTAGCTCACCTGAGCAAAAAGTGCTCAGAGGTGAGTTTTAGTGATTGCAGTGTGTCTGTTGTTGTTATCCACAATTTCTTTGAACAACATCTCTTCCTAAACCACTTGATGGAATTTTACCAAACTTCACAGGAATGATCCTAAGGTGGTCCTCTAAGATGTGTAATTGGTTCCAGTCTGAAGCATATGTAGGTCACAGGAGCTAAAAATTGACTATAAAAAGTGAAATCTTTAAAAATCTTCTTCTCAGAAACTACAGTGTCCAGAGCTAAGATATTTGGCATGCAGCATCACCTTGTGGTACTGTACAAATTTTATATTGATCATGCCGCTGGGATCAAAATTGCCACCTCTTTTAGCTTCACTTAGTTTATATAGACAATACATTTAAGTCTTCTTTATTTAAAGAACCATGCCAAGAATTTATATAATTGTCATTAAGCTTTTGTAACACACATCTACAAATATTTCAAAAATTATTCAGCGAGGGTAAAAATGTCAAACCAAATGTGATCTCATTACCGACTATGAAATTGAGAAATAAAAATTGGGACCTTTTCTGGCACTGTATCTCAGGTGAGTGATCCAGGGCCATTAATTATGGCCTTTTTGTTTAAAGTTCTATAATTATGTACCATTACATCATTGACATCCGGGACTGACCCGGAAATCAGGTGACTGTCCCGAAGCCGTCCCAGAGATGATTTATGTCCCAGTAGAAATAAAAAGCTGAAACAATCTCCCTTGCATTAAGAAATAATAAATTTTTATGCAATGTTGTTGTCAAGTTAATAATTCTAGAATGTTTGTTTAAATTAAACAGATATACCAGTGAAATTAAGTTATAAACATTTTGGGCAATTTCTACAGAATTTACAAGTATGCAGACAGCAAAATTAATATACTGCTCTTTAAGCATGATCTTAGTTAGCTTTGGTATCTTATTTTGTTGGAACAATATAGGAACCTGAGTGAATTCTCCTTCATTTTCATGTTGGGCTAGACTTTAGATTGTTCTCT